AATCACAAATGATTGGGTCAGTTTTTAAGAGGACTTAGAAAGGTCACCTGTTAAACAAAAATCATGATGCAACCTCAATTATAGTGGCACTACCACAGCACTAAAACAACAGTGAAGTCCCTGTCCCAAGGAACTTATAGTCAACTAAATTAGTGGAGCGGTGAAGGGTTGAGGTGCACTGGTCAAACTATGGTGTATAGTGAATTGGGATGCACTGGCAGAGCTAGGGGGAGCAGAAACTTTGGGGTGCACTGGCAGAGCTGTGGGGTACAGGAAGGTTGGGTACAGTGGCAAGCTGTAGGGTACAGGGGAATTGGGATGCATTGGCAGAGCTGCAGGGATGGGGCGCACAGCCAGAACTGGAGTGTTCCCTGTAAGCTGTGGGCTTGTGCGGCCATTCAGGAAAAATACAGATCCCATCCAGCTGATTACCAGAGCACACACAGCCAGGCTGGGATCTGTGTTTCTATTTGCGTTTCACATTCACACATGCCTTCGTGCACACAAAAATCTATTCCACACACAGATGGAAAAAAATTCACACATGGATGGAAAAGATTAGAGGAAACATTGGCCAGGACTCCCTTACCTCTCTTACCACACATTCCTCTAAGCCCACTCCTTTTGCTGCAGTCCCAACCCATTCTCCCAATATTTCTCCAAGGCTACGTCTAGACTGGCATGATTTTCCGGAAATGCTTTTAATGGAAAAGTTTTCCATTAAAAGCATTTTCGGAACAGAGTGTCTAGATTGTCACGGACGCTTTTCCACAAAAGCACTTTTTGCGGAAAAGCGTCCGTGCCAATCTAGATGTGCTTTTCCGCAGAAAAGCCCCGATCGCCATTTTTGCGATTGGGGCTTTTTTGCGGAAAACAAATCTGAGCTGTCTACACTGGCCCTTTCGCGCAAAAGTTTTGCGCAAAAGGACTTTTTCCCAAACGGGAGCAGCATAGTATTTCTGCAAGAACACTGAAAATCTTACATGAGATCGTCGGTGCTTTTGCGGAAATTCAAGTGGCCAGTGTAGACTGCTGGCAAGTTTTTCCAGAAAAGCGGCTGATTTTCCTGAAAAACTGGCCAGTCTAGACACAGCCCAATTCTCCCCTCTATACCACTCCTTTCTTCTCATTTCCTCCCCCCCAAAAAAATACTCATTATATTTTCCCCACACCAAATAAAATTGTTACCCATGACTGACAAATGCAGTAGCCATTCAGTGCAAGACTCCTTTTGTCTTAGGTGGGGCTTATCATTAATTAATGCTAGTTATATTAATTAAATGGTGAGTTCACCACCATCAATCTCAATGAGGTGTGTGATTCATCCAGTCATTAATAGCTCTCAGGTTAGCAGTACAAGGCAGCAGAAGGAAACTGGGTTTTTGAGGAGGTGTAGGACTTGTAACTAAGAAACCTCAGTCAAATGACCCTACATTTGCATCACTAATGATACCCATTAGTGCCACCTGAGGGGCACCAAATTTCCATAAAATCTGATTGGTTAATCAGCTTTTTGAGCCCCTCAAGCTTTAAAGCATAAACAATAGCAGGTAAGGAAAACGGTCCAATTATTTTTCTTATTGGTGCAGTTCTACTGTAAAAAAATTAAATGAAATAACATTCTCAGTGTAAGTCCCCAAAGATTTACTGAGACCACCTTGACCCACATTGTATCAACAATTTGTTTCCTAGCACTGTGAAAGCAATCAAACAAAACACACACACACACACACACACACACACACACACACACACGAAACATTTTGAAACATTGCTATTTATTTCAAGGTCTATATCTTTGGGACCCCTGGCTCAAATGATCCCAAATTTGTAGAACTCTGAAAGTCCATGGACACCTGCTTCATATCCATGATTATTATCTGCATCCGCAAATGTAGATGCAGATATCCACAGCTCATTTTTGCAGACATGGATGTGGATGCAGATACAAATTTTGTATCTAGAACCCTGCAAATTTGCTGTTATTGGCTTTTTATCTTCAGGTATCCACTAAGGATATTAAGAAGCAGTTACTTGGCTACTTGTGTAGTTGATACAACTTGTATTGACTACATGCTTAGTCAATAAGAGAAGCCGCTCTGCAGAGCTGCAGCGGGGGCAGCTCCCAGAGCCTGTCCACACCAGCCCAGGCTAGCCACCACAAACAGGGCCTGCTGGACCCGGCGCAAGCTGAGACCAAGCAGTCCCAGCTTGTGCCAGTCTGGGACCACTGTGGCTCTGCATTTTAAATGTAGTTGTAGTAAGAGCTACCATGCTCTAACT